TCCAGAAAATTTTTCATTCTTATTTTGGCAAAGGTATAATAAAATTTGATGGATTTTTTAGCTATTATATTAAAGAAAATGAATAGATTTGAAAAAGCTGTGGAAAATTATGATTTGGCAATTGAGAAAAATCCAAATGTTTCTGAATATTATGATGGAAAAGGTATAATTAAATCTGAATGATTTCTTAGCTGATGCTCTAGATAAAATGTATAGATATGAAGAAGCTTTAGAATACTATGATCTGGCAATTTAGAAAAATCCACGAAATTCTCACTATTTAAATGACAAAGGTACAATTATATCTCGATGATTTCTTAGCTCATACTCTAGATAAAATGAAAAGATTTGGTGAAGCTTTGGAAAATTATGATTCAGCAATTGAGAAAAATCCATAGGTTTCTGAATATTATGATGGCAAAGGTATAATTAAATCGGGATGATTTATTAGCTAATACGTTATATAAAATGAACAGATTTGAAGAAGCTTTGAAAATTTTTGATTAAGCAATTTCTATAAATCCTGAAAATTCTAACTATTATAACGGCAAAGGTAATTTTTAATTTGGATGAATTGTTTAGCATGTACATTAAAACAAATGAGCAGATTTGAAGAAGCTTTGGAAAATTATGATAAAGCAATTTACAAAAATCATGAAAATTCTTAATATTATTTTAACAAAGGTATAATTAATTTGAAGGTTTTCTTAGCTAATACTCTAGCCAAAATGAACAGATTAGAACCAGCTATTTACAATTATGATTTAGCAAATAAGAAAAATCCAGAAAATTCTGAATCTTATTTTGGCAAAGGTAAATTATATCTTGATCATTTCTTAGCTAATACTCTAAAACAAATGAATAGATTTGAGGAGGCTTTGGAAAATTATGATTCAGCTATTTAGAAAAATCCAGAAAATTCTTCATATTATTGTAATAAAGGTATAACTAAATCTGAATGATTTTCAGCTAGAACATTATAAGAGATCAACAGATATTAAGAATCTTTAGAAAATTATGATAGAGCCATTTAGAAATACCCAGAGGATTCTAACTATTATAATGGCAAAGGTAAAATTTAATTTGGATGAATTGTTTAGCATGTACATTAATTAAAATGAGCAGATTCGAAGAAGCTTTGGAAAATTATGATTCAGCAATTTAGAAAAATCCAGAAAATTCTGACAATATTGCTGGAAAAGGTATAATTTAATCTGGATATTTCTAAGCTAAAACTCTATAGAAGATGAACAGACTTGAAGAGGCTTTGAAAGGTTTTGATTTAGCAATTATGAGAAATCCAGAAAATTCTGACTATTATATTGATAGAGGTATTATTAAATCTGAATGATTTCTTAGCTAATACTCTATATAAAATGAACAGATTTAATGAAGCATTGAAAGATTTTGATTTAGCTATTTAGAAAAATCCAGAAAATTCTGGCTATTATAATGATAGAGGTATAATTGAATCTGAATTATTTCTCAGCTAATACCTTAAATAGAATGAACAGATATGAAGAAGCTTTGGAAAATTATGATTCAGCAATTTAGAAAAATCCAGAAAATTCTGACTATGATTTTAACAAAGGTATATTTCTTCTGAATGATTTCTCAGCTGTCACTTTAAATTAATTGATGAGATTTGAAAAAGCCCTAGAAAATTATGATTTTGCAATTTAAAAGAATCCAGAAAATTCTGACTATTACTATTACAAAGGTATAATTAAATCTGAATGATTTCTTAGCTAATATTCTATCCCAATTGAACAAACTAGAAGAGGCTTTGAAAAATTTTGATTTAGCAATTTAGAAAGCTCCAGAAAATTCTGGCTATTATTTTGGCAAAGGTATAATTTTATCTGAATGATTTCCTTAGCTAATTACCTATTTTAATCAGATTATCAAGCAATTTTAAATACAATAAAGAGACTTAGCAATTTAGAAAAATCCAGAAAATTCTGACGATTATGATAGCAAAGGTATATTACAATCTGGATCAATAAATAGGTAATACTCTAGAAGGTGTGAGCAGATTTGAGGAAGCTTTGAGAATATATGAGTGAGCTATTTTGAGAGGGCCATTACATTTAGGGTATATTTTGGACAAAGGTATAATTGACTCAGAATGATTTCTTAGCTAATACTTTATTC